CCGGCCTCAGCTGGGGCCCGGCCAGCCCCCTCCCCCGCCCTCCTCGCGGTCTCCGGGGGAACGCGCAGCCAATCCCCGCCGCCCACTGCGGGCTCGCCCCGGCCCGGGCCGCGGCGCGCCAGCCTCCGGTGGGGCTTTTCCCCTCTTTTCCCTCGTCCTAACTCTCCCTCGCTTTCCTTTCCCCTTTCCCTACTGCACAAGTTTTTAAACTTTGATGAATTCGCCCAGTGAACTTTCTTAAAGGGTCCGCGCGCTCCGTGCTGTCCCGGCCCGCGGGAGGTGGAGCTGCGTGCCGGGCACCCGCGCTCCCTCGTCCCTAGTCATCCGTGGCCCGCCGGCCCCACGCGAGCGGCTTCCGAAGCGGGGCTCCTCGGTCTTCGGCTTCAGGAAAGAGCTCCCCTCGTACTCTGATTTGGGGTTACAGAGTGTCCGGCGCGCTCATTTCACCCCCAAATCCAGCCTCCCAGTCCCGGTCCACACTCCGAGCGCTGGACTGTTGGGGGTCGGGTTCTGAGGATGATGGCGGTCGGGAGTCCGACCTCTGGGCTTTGGCCCTGGCTGGCCGTTGTTTTGCTGCGTGACCTTGAGGAAATCACTTCCCCTCTCTGACTTCAGGCTTCCAGCCCAGAGGGTGGGACTTAAATCTCAAACTCCCTTCCCGCTCCTAGTCACTGAATAGGACTCTGGGCGCGGAGACGAGTCTTCGGGACCCAAATGGTTATTAGCCCCAGGAGGGGGTACCTCGAATGACCAGGATTCCATTCGCCTTCTTTCCCCCCAACCCCCACCCCCGCCTTGGGGTCCTCCCCTCCCTCGACTTAAATACCGCCCCCCCTACACACACCTTTTCCCCTCCTCCTATTGAGAGCCCGAGGGCCGGGGGAGGGGAGAGCAGCCTCGCGTCTTGGGCGGGGCGGTGGTGACCCCCTCCGCGGGTCTCGAGCGCGCGGTCCGCAGGCCAATTTGCCTCTGACTTGAGAACCCGCGCGGACTTGGCCAGCCCCAGCCACCACCTTGTAAAAGCCCGTGCCCGGCTCGGGTCTCGCCTGAGATGCAGCAGCCCTGAGCCGGGCGGAGGTCGTCGAGGACTGGGCCCTCCCCGTCAACCCCGCCCACCTCCCCGCCCCCGCCGGCCTGGGAATTCAGCCGCGACCCCAGGGCATCCCGGCCAGAGGCTCTGTGTGGACTTGGGAAGACACTGCCGAGAGGTTAGGGGAATCCTGTGTGACCCCGGCCGGGATCAGGGGTCTCTGGGTGTGATTCTGACCTTCCCCGCCAAATCAGGTCGTGGTACCTGGGTTTTGAGATTGGAAGCAAGCCGCAGTATCAGTGGAGTGGGAGAAGCTGGGTTTGCAGTTGTGTACCAGTTGGGACCACGCGACCTTGGATTAGTGACTCAACCCTTCTAAGCCTCAATATGCCGACCTCTAAATAGGGCTGCCACCACCATATGGGAGTATCAAGTGTGGAAGTACACAGTGTCCCTGTCACTTAGTCTCCCCAACAAATTACAGTCCCCTTCCCAACCTGCCATTTCACAGATAGGTAAATTGAGGCCTAGAGATATGTGATATCTTTCCCAGGGACATATTCTTTCAGTAAATTGCTGAACATCTGTTGTGTGCTGGGGACCCACTGTGTCCTCAAGACCAGGAGCACCCTGGTTTCCCACCCCGCACAGTGCCAACACTTGGCTCAGGCCCAGTTTTGAGGGGAACTGCCTCCTACAGGAATCAGGTACTCCAATCAGTGATAGGTGCTTCTCTTAACCCAGAGTTTTCTAGGTTCTTCCAGCTTCTGGCACCTCCAGATGGAGCCAACCTGGTGAACCTACAGATATCCTACCATCCTTCAGAGGCCTCAGTCCACTCTGGCTGTAGTCCCGCTCCTAAGCCCTCTTCCCTAGAATAGATCTTCTCATCAGGCATGCCTCCAGCTTTGGCCCAGCAATATTCTTTCTTGATCCAAATCCTCCCCTCAGGATCCTTTTTCGCCCCACTTTTTCCAGGCAGAGGAGCTGGGCCAGTTTTCTAAATTCAGGTATCCTATAGAAGTGAGTTTGAATTTTTCAAAGAGGAAGGGATTCTCATCTTGTCCTCAGGTCTTCATTTTATAGATGAGGAAGCTGAGGCCCAAAGAGGTGACAAATGGGGGCACCTGGCTGGCTCAGTCGGTAGAGCATGCCACTCTTGATCTCAGGGTCAGGTTTGAGCCCCATGTTGGGTGTAGAGATTACTTAAAAAAACAAAACAGAACAGGGTCCGCTATTGACCTTCATTACTATTTTTCTGTGATGTGAAGCTGATGATTTTTAAAATAATCTTTATTACTTTTCTGATGATAAGAGCAATACATGCTTATGTTGAATAGTTGGAAGCTACCAGAATAGTTTAGAAAACAATTTGAAATCTGGAGAGCAAGATTATTAATATTTCCCTCTAGTCTTTTTGTCTGCGCCTATTTTAAAAAACAAAATTGCTGAACAATTTAAATACTCCTTTTTCTCTTAAGTTTATCACAAACATTTCTTTTTAAGTTCTTTAGTCATATTTTCTTTTTAAAGTAGGTTCCCACACCCAACGTGGGGCTCAAACTCATGACCCCGAGGTCAAGAGTGGCATGCTCTACCAACTGAGCCAGCCAGGCGCCCCTCTTTAGTCATAATTTTGAATGATTGCTTAACCCCTATTGGATGTGCCAGAATTTATTTAACTTATCTCTTGTTAGGCATTTGCATGATTTCCAGGTTTTTTTCTCTTTGGCTTCATCAGAAACACCTTTATATACAGATTCTTAATGCCTCCGAAAGCTTCGTGTATGTGTGACCAGACCTTCAGCACTTTAGGGGCAACAATTTATTCCTCTGTATATCTTCAATAGTCCTGGGAATGGGAGAATCTCTGACCCCAAAGGGATTTGGAGATCATAGAAATGCAAAGGTCCCACCCAGCCTGGCATGAGTACCCATCAGTGCAGACTCGGGGTTGAGGCACATGCGGCCAAAGAGAGAAGGGTTTGGGGTGTATGACTGCCTGCCTGGAGGTTGGGAACGTGTATCTTTGTCTTACCCAACTGTGACCTAGTAGCCTTTTCAGTGCCCCTCTCCTCTCCCAGTGCTCGGCTCCACATCACCTCTGAACTTCTCACATTTCTGTTCCCTTTGCCTGGAACCACCCCTCTTTCCCAGCTTCCTGATCTTTCTGATTGTTCTCAGAGTGCCTCCTCTGTGTCGTCTTGAGCATGGGAATCCCTTGTCTTGCAGTCTTACCTACCAGATGGGGAAATTTCTGACTCTGAGCAGTGTTCACAAACCCTGCTAAGTGAATAGAGCCTCAGCCCCCTCGCCTCTAGCAGATGGCTTGATGAGTGGTGGGCATTTGCAGTAGTAGGTATCCATAAATCTTTATTGAAATGGCACTGGGCCACTCCTGGGGCCTCTAGGTTATCTGGTGCCTGTCCCTTTCTCTCTGATTTACTGTACATACATTATCATATGATGGTTCATTCCTAGGGTAAGAAAAAGAGTCAGATGTCTTCACTCTTGAGAAACTCTGCCTGGGACCTGGCATCCTGAGGGCGGACCAGGCGACTTCCAGGCAGGCCCCCCATTCTAACTCCACCTCCCCTACCATCGGGAAAGCCTGGGTAATAAGAAGGCAAGTAGAGAGGGTGACCTTGAGGCCCAAAGGCTAGGATGTATCTGAGGTGTATTTTCTTGGCATTTATAGGTTTAAGTTCTACTTGGGTGCAAGAGGTCTCAGGAAGGGAAGGAGGGAGGATGCTGGCATTTAAAAGTGCCTACTTCTTCCTACCCCGGGCAATGAATATGTCTTCTCATCCAATCCTCCCATTGTTCCTGCCATCCCTGGTTATAGATTAGAAACCTGGGGCTCAGAAGTATTAAGGGGAACTCACCTAGCTACTGGTGGATGGTATGGGTGGCGGGAAAAGCACGAAGCAGCCCTGTGATGGGATTTTGATCTGGTGACCTTGGATAGGTTACCAGCTGAGTATCAATCAGTAAAATGGGGATACTAATGCACAACTTCAGGGATGTGTTATGTAAGACAAATAACCTCATGGGAAGCTCTCAGGGGTTGTGATTTTTTTTTAATTTTTTTGCTTTTTTCCTTTTTAAGATTTTATCTATTTGTCTATTTGTGCACGAGCGCACAAACAGGGGGAGCGGCAGGCAGACGGAGAAGCAGTCTTCCCGCCAAGCAAGCAGCCAGACGCGGACTAGATCCCAGGATCCCGGGATCATGACCTGAGCCAAAGGCAGACACTTAACCAACTGAGCCACCCAGGCGTCCCAGGGGTTGTGATTATTGCCTGTGGTCCTGCTGCTAGTTTGAAGGTCAAGGTCAGAGTGGTGCAGGTCAAGATCAGAGACTGGGCCATTTCAGCCCAAAGTTTCTGAGCTCTGTCTTTGTCTTCTTGCCTCCCTTACTCTGGGCCACGTAGTAACCTAAATCACAGGTTCAAATCCAAGGCAAACAACATTTCCAAAATACCTATGCCAGAAGATCTAGGTTTGAGTCCAGGTGACCATAGCAACCTGTGTGACCATGAGCACGTAGCTTACTTTCTAAGGCTTTTTTTTTTCTTTAAGATTTTATGTCTTTATTTGAGAGAAAG